CTGCACTTACCTTTCACAGGTGGCTTGGATGTCACCAAGCAGTAGCATCATGCTACCATAGCTGTGTGTCAGGGCAAGGCAGGTGGCATATTCTTACCAAATGTGTGCAAAATCTGGGCAGAAGGAGCAGGACTTCTGTATTTGGCCATTATTTCTCGTTGCTTTCCTGGTTTTCCTTCTCCCCTCTCTTGTTCCCTTATCCTTCTTTCTTTGCCTCTGAGTGTGTCCCTAAGTCCCACCCAATTCCTACCCAAGCAAGACAGCTCTTCTTGTGCCATCCTGAAAATTACTGTAGCCTAGAGCACCACCAGTTCAGCAGCATAGCTGCCCTGTGTGCTGGGGATCCCACCCCAGTGCCCGACAGCAGGTTAGCATGGTGGGTGGGACTCTGCCTGGGTGCCCCCCTTCCTGGCGTTCCCATGTTTGGCCTTGGAGCAATCTAGTTGTCATGCTTTTTTATAGACAGCATAGTGTAATCACCAGATTCATGCAGACCTGGATTCAAATTCATCTCTGTCACTTAACTCGCTGTGTAACTTGGACTAAGTTCTCCTCCCTCTCTGAACCTCAGTTTCCTCAATATAAAATGGAGATAATACCTACTTCTCAGTGTTACTAAGGTTAGGTGTGCATAACATGTACATATCTAAAATACAGTAATGGTCACTTAACGTTTTCATTTTCTTTTCAGTTGACTATCTAGATTCTTTATTCATTTTCTTCCACTTTCATCTAGAATTTGGAGGGCTGGTATCTGTGTAGGTTAGGATGAGCTAATAACAAACAACCCTAGAATCTCAGTAAGTCATCTCTTGATATCCAGGACTCCCACAGGTACCAGAATACTCAAACGTCCAAGTAAGTCCCTGATATAAAATGGTACATAGTATTCGCATATAACCTACACACATTCTCCTATATACTTTACCTCTGGATTATTTATAATACCTAATACAATATAAATGTTATGTAATTGGTAGCTACACTACATTATTAGGAAACAAGGACAAGAAAAAAGTCTGTAATGCTCAATATGGATGCAGTTTTTTCCCCAAGAATTTTCTCTCTGCAGTGGTTGAACCCAGGCCTCCAGAACCTCCAGTTACAGAGAGCCATGTTATTGCTGTGTACACACGGATTGGTGTTTTAGTCAGCTTTTTCATTGCTGTGACCAAAAGACCTGACAAGGATAATGTAGAAGAGGAAGGTTTATTTGGGCTCATGGTCGCAGAGGTTCAGCTCATGGTCAGCCAACTCCAAAGCTCTGGGACCACGCTGAGGTGGGAAGTCATGGCAGAGGATGCGGAGGAAGAAGGCCACTCGGGACGTGGCTACAAGGAAGTAGAGAGCTCTGCTCACCAGTGACAAAATATCAACCCCAAAGGAATGCCCCCAATAACCTCCTCCAGCCATACCTACCTGCCTGCAGTTACCACCCAGTTAACCTGTCAGTGGGTTAATCCACCGATTAGGTCACACCTCTCATATTCTAATCATTGCACCTCAGAAAATTCTTGCATTATTTCACAGATGAGCTTTTGGGGACACCTTATATCTAAATGATAACAATTAATTTCTCTGTATCCTGTGTCCCCCTTGGTTTGTAGGGGCCCTGCAGGCAGCCAGAGGCCTCCTGGCTTCCGTGGTCACAGAGGCAGGTAGAAGAGGAAGTAAGTGAACTACACACTGGCTTTTAAAGGCTTCTACCGAGATATGGCACCTGTCACTGCCCATCCATGGTCCTCCTCACATGGGAAGCATGAAATTCTACCACACACCAGGAAGAGGGGACCTGGGATGCTGTTCAACACCAGTGACTACCTGGGGGCATTGGAGATGAGTAAACCTGGGAGCGAAATCTAATTTTGTACAATGAAATCTTAATTTAAATTCCTTTCACCTGGATCAAGTGAGGGTTGTTGCATTAGTGAGTAAAATCAAGAAAATGGTAATGGCGTTGTTAGCTTTTTGGAGAGAACAAAGCACATTAATGATATGAGGGGTGTGTGGTTAGTGTTGGGCACTTTGCAGAAATCCAGTCTTAAATGTTCATGGCAACAAGAAGCAGACTCCTGTGCTTGTTAGTATCTTACAGATGAGCCCTAGGATCACTAGCAGGTAATAAAGATAATATCTTTCTAAATATTCCATAATTTAGGTCTGTCATAGATTAGACTGATCTTTCTCCTATTTGTTTAAATTTGAGCTGTTTTGTTATGTTTATGCTATACTTGTTATCTTAATCCTTCAGGTGTTTGTTTATTGATTTCCTGCTGTGATAAATACATAGCATTTTAGAGTCTGGACACTGGGTCTAGATGGCTCCAGTTCAAATAATGGTCTGCCCATAAATTGGCTGTGTGGCCTTGAGTAAATTACTCAATCTCTCTGTGCCTCATTTTTCTCTTCTGTGTAATGGGGATGATGACAGCACCTGTTTCATAGGACAGTTCTGAGGATTAAATGAATTCACATATATCAAGAACTTAGAATAGTACTTGGCGCATAGCAAGTACTCAATAAACGTTACCTATTATCATCATTCTCAGGCTCAATGGAGAAATGCAAAGAGAGTTTGGTGCAAGTGTCACTTTTTATGTTTTGTTTGCTGGTCTGTGCTGTGTTCAGTGCCATGGGCCAGGCGGTGCTCAGTAAGCAGGTGTTGAGTGAATCAGTGCATGAGCCCTCACCTTGTGCAGTTTAAAGAGCAGCCTAATCCTTGATTCTGTGTGTGTAATAAGAGTCTTTCCTTCTTTTAAAGCTACTTGACCAATCTTGAATTTTCAGGATCCAGAGTGAACCAGCCTGATCCTTCTAGCTGAGGGCTTCCTCCCCTCCCTTGCCAGCTCACTTTCAAGCAAATTCTGGCAGCAATGCCAGCCAGCCTTGGGCTTCCCTGACCTCCCGTCTCTTCACACCCCAGTTGGTGACTGTCATCGCAATACGAGCTCTCAGAGCAGAGGCTGGTGATGATGACACCAGCTCACGTGCAGCTTTCTCCTGTGGCAGTTTGGGTGATTGGCATAGTATTTAATGTGGCTTCACTCACCAAGTTTCACTGTGTTCTTACTGTCAGAGAGAGAGGGGGTGTTGGACAGGTCTGGGCACCTCTTGCAGAGGGCCTGCCGCTCTCCAGGCCACACGTCCTCTGCTGCGTCTCTACTCAGCATCCTGGGGAGGTTCCATTCCAAGTTTTCCAAGAATTCTCCATACTGCTTTCCATATTGGCTGCACCAATTTGCAGTCCCACCAACAATGTATGAGTGTGCAACACTTAAACTTCATAATAGCTGCCATCCTAACTGGAGTGAGATGATATCTTAGAGTAGTTTTGATTTGCATTTCTCTGATTGCTAGAGTTGATGAGCGTTTTTTCATATATTTGTTGATTGATTGTATGTCCTCTTCTGAGAAGTGTCTGTTCAGGTCCTTGGTCCATTTGTTGATTGGGTTATTTGTTTTTTGAGTGCTTAGCTTTTTACCTACTCTTTTGAAGGTCTCTGCTAAGATACCACCTCCTCCAATAGGCCCAATTTTTTGCCATTTCTTAAATATCTACCTCCATTTTTCTTCTGGGCATTTCTTTCCAATAACTTATGATTCATTGGTTTGTGTATTGATGTGCAAATGTCTGTTCTCCCTCCCCATAGTATAAGATGAGCGGAGGCCCTGAGCCTCCAGTGCCTAGTGTGTACTGAGCACTCGGTAACTGTGTATTGAAAGGAAGGAAGATCAGCTTACAACTAAGGAATAGACGAGTTGGTTTAACTCACAGGAAAAGACCGAGTAAGTAATGGGACAGAGAGTGCATAGGAGTTGCCGAAGGGAAGGTGACTGAGAAGTGACTCAAGTTTAGGATCGTGGACGTGGCAGACAAGTGCACAAGCTGAAGGAGGCAGAGGGGCAGAATAGTCTTGAGTCAGCTTCCTGCATCAGACTTGGAAGAAGAAGAGCCCAAGGGCCCGGCCTGATGCCGAAGGTCAAGCAGTGGCATTCACGGTGCCTTGGGGACTCAGTGAACAGACAGGCTAGACAGGTGTGTGGGCGAAGAGGAGAGCTACCTTAGGATCCTACCACTTAGACACTCACTGACTTCGAAAGGTGATAAATCAGGTCCAAGACTGGCCTTGTAAATAACCAAGAGGAATGTGCCCGACCCTGCATCTTAACGACAGAGACAGTATTTTCTGTCAGGGTTTCTTCCCCACTGGAAATACGGCCTCTGCGGTTGACCTTGCTGAGGGCCGGCACTGAGGAGTGAAAGATGAAACCGAAGCCCAGACTTCTGTTAGGCATCAGGGACGGGGGGCTGGGGTTAAGTGAGTGAAGCTGTGACACACAGGAATGTTCACTGGGAGCGACTCAGTCGAGGCACCCAGCAATGAATCACCACTACCCAGAGCCAGCGCCCTCCTCGCCCGCCAAAGCGAGTATTACTTGGGTCAGCCATGAAAAGTAAAAGGAGATTGATGTGGATTGCTTTTCAGAGGTAGCATATCTTTATTTTTTCTTAATGCTTAAATTATATGCTTCTGAAAAAATCAAAATGGAACAGAGGCCCATAAAGAAGAAAGTAGAAACCTCTTATAATTCACAAGTAAGAACCCTTAGGAGGTAACTGCTTAACAGTGATTTATTGTGCACCTACCACATTTCAAGCACAGGCACTATTTTAAAAGGTTCAAATACATCAGTATTTAAACAAAGGTCTTTGTCCTCTCTGGGTTTATGTTCTACTGTTGTGCTGTATATCACAGTAGCCACTAGCTAAATGTTTCACCAGAAACACCAGCCACATTTCAAGAGCTCAGTGGCTATATGTGACTAGTGGTTATTGTATTAGGCAACACAGATACAGGATATTTCTATCAAAGCAGAAAGTCCAGAGGAATAATAAGTGAAACAGTTTATAATAAATTATTTTGTATTTGTACATACAAATGAGTACATGTGTGTGTGTGTGTGTGTATGTGTATGTGTATGTGTGTGTGTGTGTGTACAAGATAGGACATATGCTATATAACATAGGTACTGTAGTTCTGCTCAACAACCTACTCTTGTCAGTTAATCTAGCATCTCTTATTAATCAGTAATAAATCAGACACATTAATTTTTATCCTCCCACTGATGGGTATTTAATTAATTCCAAGTTTTTACTATTATAAACAATATTACTATGAAATCCCTTGGAACTTTTACCTTTCCTTATTTCTCTAGTCCTTTTTTTGGGGGGGGGGTACTGGAGATTGAACCCAGGGGCACTTTAACACTGAGCTACATCCTCAACCTTTTTGAATTTTTTTAATTTTGAGATAGGGCCTCAAACTTGCCTCCGTCTCCGAGTCCCTGCATTATAGGTGTGCACCACTTCTCTAGCTCTTTCTTAATCTGCATTCTGTGACATACAGTGAGATTCAGTAGCCACTAGCCACATATGGCCAAGTAGCTCAGCACACAGTAGGCACTCAGTAGCTGTTGACTATGCCTGTGAGAAGCTTTGCAGAAGTTCCCAGAGGTGCATTTCGAGTTCGTGCACTTTCCAGACCTTCATGTCCCCCTGGCCCCAAAGCAAACCAGATGGTGCAATGGCCTCTGAAAATCTGGAGCCTGAAGCTATAGCCCGCAACTTCCATGCAGGGCATTTTTGTCTTGTTTTGTTTCCAGAATAATTACACATTTTGAATCTCACCACATGTTACGTTTATGGACCACCTCCTGGGTGCCTGGCCCTGCACTAGGCGCCAAACCTGTTGCAGGCCTGAGACGGGCTCATTTTATGAGCTCACAATGGAGCTGTTGTGGCAACCGTGGGTAAAGGGGATATCGCTGTTCGTTAAGGCTGGTCCCCAGCCCTAGGCACAGTTTCACTGGGATGGAGGTGAGTGCTGGGCCCAGAAAGGAAGGCAGTGATATGCTGGTGTGGAGGGAATTCCTGTGTCATCTAGGTGGCCCTTCTAGGTTAGCGGGGTTTTTCTCTGCACAATGGAGGCCAAAAGAAATTCTAACCTTTTTGCAGTCTTTATTTCTCAACTAATTCACTCCAACTTGCTCTTTCAGGCCCATGAGATGTCGAGCCCGTTCTGTGCCTTAACCCCTCCCGTCCCCATCCTGCTGAGGGAAGAGCTTGCCCGGCCATCTTGCCTAAAATCACCCCCCCTCACCTTTATAGAGTGATGGTGAAAACAGCTGTGGGCTTCACAATGTCCCTGCTCAGAAGCCAGCGGAAGACTGGATGCCCTACATCTTTGTGATGAGTTCTTTTTGTAGACAGAATTTGACTCACCTGTCGACCAGGGGATTCAGCTCAGTTATCTCCAGCAAAGGTTGAAGGAAAGGGGTAAAAGCTGTGTGGAGCCTGTCTAGACGGTAGTTAGGCAGGTAAGGAGTCCCTGGAAGGCTGCAGACAAGAAACCCTCACTCACTCCTCAAGGCAGGGAACTGCTGCTCTCTGTCCTGCCCCTTCCAAACCCTAACCACGGGGGTGTGACCTGAGTGGCTTTGAGCCTGTGAGCTTTCCTTGATTTCTCTGCCTTTGTTTCCAGGGTCTGTCTCAAGCGTCTTCCTGGTTTCAGGGAGATATTTTTGTCCTCCTCTCTTGCCACAGGCGCATTGGCAGCCCTTTCTGGATGGCATCCCATCTCTGAATCAGGAATGGCTGACCCACACACTAATCCACGCCACTCCAAAAGAAAATACAGAAAAGTGATAGATAAGGGGCCTCATTTAGTGAGAGCTTAAATTTCAGGCCCAGCAATGCTGGCTCGGTTCAATGGAGATTTACAACAACAGGTGCAGGGGACCTAGAGTGAGGCCCCGGAGCTGTGTGCCCATGGGGGTGGGGAGAGGGAGGGGCCTCACTTGATCTGTCTGCTATTGGAAGAAAAATAAACGCCATTTGCTCTTCTATTCTTTTAAGAAACAAAAGGGATGAAAGAAACTTTAGGGCAGTAAGCTTCCCTTTTATTCTTCCCTATTCCCCAAAGAGATCAGAAAATGATCCCTTATTTTTAACCACTTCATCTTCCCCCAAAAATATGAGGGTAAGAAGACACTGCTGTCCCCCTGTGCTTCCAGAATCTCATAACAAGCCCAGTGGAGCCGCAGCTCAAAAAACAAAATGGAAAACAAAGGGTTTAAGGAAATCTTCCAAATGACAGTGGGAACAAGAGTCTGGAGACAGCCAGACAGTAATTTGAAAAGCTTTTAAATATGCCATGATTTGAACTTCTGATTTCACCCTTTTCTACAAATGGACAATTAGTGTAGTGCAGGTTTGTATAATTAACAGGCATTACAGAGGGCAGCGTTCATAGTAACCTGGGTAAGAAAGCATTTCCCAGCAGCATGTCATAGCCAGAAATGACACTGTATTATTTGCACACTCTTAAGCCCACTTTCATTGGCATTTCTAAAGTGAAGTACAACCTTATCTCTTTTTCCTCATGTGCATTAGGCTTTTGGTAGTATTTTTCAAACCAGCAATTAGACTGGAAATGGGCTAAGAATCAGACTGGAACATAAACAGTCCTCACACTGTGGTTCTTCACAGCTTCTTTTTTGACCTGCACCTGCAGGAAGACTTCCTTGTGGTCTTTTGGGGGAGCTCTGGAGCCTCTGCTGCAGCTTATCTGTTCAGGTCCCCAAATATGCCCCCTTGTCCTCTTCCACCAACACATGCACATACCCTTGCAACGATGGAGAACAGGGAGGGACAGGGTATGGAGGGTAACACAGCAACAAGCTATAGCAACAAGCTACTTGCAGGAAGGGGTACATCAGACATGCTTCCTGGAGGGCAAGTGGGATCAGCCACCAGTGGGTCTGGGAAGGAGTATCTGGACTCCCTTTCCCTCTCTCTGACATGCTGGCCTGGCCCATGGGTGCTGAAACTTTGCACCGGGGAAATATTATTCCCAGCTGTAATGGAAGGATTGGCAGGCTTTCTCCAATTCAGAGAACAATAAAATAAGCAGATCACATTTTTCCAAACCTGTTCTCATCCATCCTGTGTTATCTTTGTTGCAGCTTCGTCTTTTGTAGCTACTGCCCCACCCACCAAAAAAAAAAGTAAGCAAAATTTAACATAAATATTGCCAGCAGTGCTTAACTTGTGGGCAGGGTGTGATGATTGCTCTGTGTACCTTGTTTTCTCCTGGTTCAGAGGAGAAGTCACAGTAACAATTTGTCATAGTGTTACTCTACTGGGCGGCCTTCAGGTGGTCTTAAGGTGCAGCCTACCTCCCAGGGCTCTGCCACCTGGAAGCTTTTGAAAACAACCAGATCCTGGGCTGGGGATGTGGCTCAAGCGGTAGCACGCTCACCTGGCATGCGTGCCGCCTGGGTTCCATCCTCAGCACCACATACCAACAAAGATGTTG